AAGTGAATATGCTCTACAAGCAACAAGAGATTCAAATAAATAATTCGAAGAAGATCAAGCTTATAAATGATATTCCAACACGCTGAAATTTAGCTTGTTACACGCTTAAAAGAATTATGTATTTGAATATATTTTATTTACTACAACATTCTCAATCTTTCTTCCAGTAGCATTGGATTTGCTGAAAAGGATTGAAACCTGTGTGTAAAATTGTAAATCTTCATCTTAGCAATTTTTAAGGAAGGCTCCTTATTTCTCTCTAAAAAGGATGTTTGCATGCATTCATTTGTGATTGACATTATAAAACCGTTTTGTATTCCTTTAAATGACAAAGAAATGATGGTTAACAAGAAAGATTTGAAGAAATAACGGAAGCACAATTTTCTGATTTAGAAACAATAAATTATTTGACTTGTTTTGATTTTGTTGATGATTTCACTTAATTTTGGTTTTAGTTGTGTTTTACTAAAATGGAAATTTCGGACCTTTTGGTTTCGGCTAACATTTTGATTTCGTTTGTCTTTCGGTTGATTTCGGTTGATTTTTGGTTGATTTCGGTTGATTTTGGTTCGATTGTGCCTTATTATAAACTAAATATAATTAAATGTAACAAAAAGTTGTCTAAATAACAAATAACTACTAACATATAAAATGTTTTTTTTTTTAATGTTTATAAAAAACTATGATACAGTTTACTACTACAGTTTACTTTACTTTTTTAAAGGTATTTTTTCTAAAGAATACAATTACTCCGTAACAAACTAGACGACAAATAAACTAATAAATTTTTCTGGTTCTAGGAAATAATCCTCCAGGAAAAAATTCCCCGAAATAGTCCCCCCGAGAAAAACAAGTCTCGAAAAAGGCACTCAAAAAATGGCGCTCAAAAAATATATGTTTTTTTGGAAAACATTTTCTTAAAATTGATATATTGCCAGCCCAAATAAAACCTTTAATCAATTTTTCTTCCAACACATGTTTTTGGTGTTGTTTTATTCTTGTTCCGATTCTCATTTTTGTTTAGCTAATGTAGTTTTGCTTACACTCGCATTCTATTAGGTATAAAACAGAATTATTTGATTATAATTTTGTTTTGTTGCGTGAGGATAGCAAAGACTTCAGATTTGCACTAGATTTAAAAACTTTGTTATTACCTGTTTACCTAAAGAAGTTTTAAAGTTTCGGTGATTTGGATCCACAATAGTAATATAGTTGGCATGGATAATTTATTGTTATATGAGTCTAATCCATTATTGGAGTGTCGTTTTTTTATAACAATGTTTGCAAAGTTTTTTCTTTTTGCATCCGTTCTTAACAAACACATCTATAAAGAAATTGATTTCTTTATTTCTAAAGCAAATAAATAAGACTCAATGGATAAGGGGCTAATTGTAACAGAGGTATGTTACAATAATGCATTTTAAAGAATGGTTTTTATATTTTACTACTTTTTTTTTTACATTATATAACTATAATTATAATACGTCAGTTATAGATTAAAGATTTAATTTCTAACTTAAAAATTAAAAATTTCAAATGTTATTGATAATTTTTTTCAAATTTTTTTTTGCCTTAACTGTGGAAACATATGACCATAATAAAATAAAGGTTCAACAAATCTTTTTCACATACAAAAGTTAAAAAGAAAGTTTTATTTAATGTAAATAGTTATATACATTGATCGGGGTAAGTTGCATCTACGTGCATGGCGTAAGTTGAATCATAAAATAACTACAGGTTTTATTGATGTTACGCACTTTTTTAGTTATTTTTAAATTAATAGAAATTTTTTTAACAAAAAAATTTCTAGAAAACAAAAATCTGTAACATTAACAAAAAAAAAAACATTTAAAAAATCTTAAAAAATATTTAAAAAAAAAAACATTTAAAAATTATTGAATGTAATTAATTCTTTAGTATTTGTTTGTTTTTTAATGAAAATTTATTGCTAGGAAATCGTCTTGTTATCTAAGTTTGATTTTTGTTTGTTTTTATGAAATTTTGTTGAAGATGCGTTTTATTTTTTTACATTTTCATTATTTTTTTTTCCAAAAACAGAACTTAAATATCCTTAAAACAAATCCTTGCAGTTTTCTTAACTAATTTGTTAATTAATGATTAAGAGAATACTTTTTTTTTAAAAAAACACTTAGGAGTTAAGATGGCTTAACAGGAAATGTTTTTTTTTTAGTAAAATAACTTAAATCAATTCTAAAATCAGTTTTATAAATTTAATTTAATGAAAATAATAATAAAATATGAAAGTCTATTGAAAAAAAAAAAAAAGAAGAGGACTTTTCTAATAAAAAAAGGACAAAAAAGCATATTTTATTTTAGTTTTCAAAACACGATTATTCCAGAATGGCTAATTAAAAAAACTTGGTACTTTGCAATAATATTTTCTGATATATGAGGCAAAGGATGAACTAAGTTCATAATATAAAAACAAAAATATTTATTTTAAGTCCCAAAAAACTGAAAATTGACTAATTTCCAGGGGGAGTAAAGTTCAAAAAAGACTTAGAAATCGATAAATATTCATTCAATTATCAAGATTCTCGTTCATTCTCTACATATATATTAATTTAATACAACAATTGGGGAATATTTGGATATCTAGTCATTTTTTAATGTTGAGATATCGTGTTTTAAACTCATAAATTATGTTAAAATCTTCATTAAGTAAAAAAAATTTTAAAAATATCCTTTCTTGTAGATATATTTGGATAACTGTTCTTGATCTTTATCAATCCAACCTTTCCTAATTCCTCTCTTTTCTTCTTTTTTTGGCTGTCCTTTTTTCACCATATTCTCTAACCACTTTTGGTCTTTTTTTATTGAACTGGTTATCGTATTTTTTCCAAAGTCTAGATTTAAATGTTTAAATACACAATAAATATCAAATGAACCTTCATTGAAAGAAAGAACCGCTGAGTTTACTACCATTTCAAAAACATCTGTCTTTACATAAACATTTTGAGGACTTCGGGATAATATTATTTAGTCCTTCATTACAATTTTGAGTTAGCCCATGAAGACATTTTTTCAATAAATTGTTGTTGCTTAATTTATCAAAGTCTTTCTTGATAATTTCATATATCCATTAAGGTAAATTTAATTTAGGAGAAAAATTTTCATCTGCATCTGCATTTTTATTTTTTTTGAAGTATCGTTACCTTCAGTTATGAGTTATGTTATTATAGAGTTTTCGTTTTACTATTGTTTATTTTACTTTGTTTTATTACAGTTTTATTATTGCGTACTAATTGACTTATGTTATCTTGTTATCTTGAGTTAAGTTCAAGTATTCTTATAATTACCCATTGTATATTTCACTTATTGACCTAAAAAAATATTTTAGGTAAACATTTTATCAACACAACTTGTGTTAATATAATGGTTTTGTCGCAAGAAGTAAGTAATCAAATGATCGTGAAATGATGCAATTTCAATAAGTAAAATGATTTTATTTTTGAAACTGAACATAGTTAGCCACTAAACTAAATCTTTTATTATTGCAGAACAGTGGTTAAACAAAAGTTTTCATACTGCTTTTTTCCGTTGCTATGGGCGTTGCTAAAGAAGCTACTTCATATCATATCTAACAAAATGCAAAATAGTAGGTCATAAAATTGAAATTATTAAAAAATAGTTATACCATCATTTTTAGTAATGTTAAAATTCTCAAAAATCATATTTTTCAAATTTTTTTTTTTTTTTGATTTTACACCTTTTATTTCCTGTGAAGCCACATTAAAACAATCAATTAGTTTAAATAATAAACTCGTTATTTAATTTCTTCAGTCTTTGAAGTCTTTGAATGTAATTAACAGTTTACAAAACAAGCAAGGTATATGTGAAGCCAAAACAAGCAAGGTATATGTGAATTTTACTTTATTGTAATTATAAAACAAATTTTATAATTACAATAAAGTAAAATTTAAAATTTTACTTTATTGTAATTATAAAATTTGTATTGCCAAATAAAAATTACAGATTAACTATTTTTTCTTTGCAAAGCTTATGCTTTCAAAGTATTGTGTTTCAACTTACCCCATTTACTGTTGCAACTTGCCCCGGTGCAGGGTAAGTTGCAATATTTTATTTATTATTTTTGTTTCACTATTGTGGAATAACTATGTTTTATATTATATTTATCAATGTTTTATATTATATTTATCAAAAAAATCTAAAAAAAAAATCAAAGTTGTAGGAGATAAATGGAGTTTTTAAAACTAGCCCCAGTCTTCCCTACCTCAAAAACGACTTTAATTCTATTGGTGGATTGAAGTGTTGTGTCAATTACTTTATTTTCAAAACATTACAGGAAACCTTCCACAAGTATGATCATGAGTGAAAGTTCTATTGGGCATGAATCCATAAGCTTAAGAATTTTTTCATTCCATAAAAAATAACATCAAGATTAACACAATTTTATTAATGATTTTAATTCTGAGATCTTAATTTTGTCAATTTATTTAAATTTGGGAAGATTAAGCAAAGAAGTATTTTTGTGGCTTATCTCAGATGGATAAATAGGTATAGATTGACATGACGGTTATCGTAAATTGACGTTTAAGAGGGCGTATTACGACGGTGTCTTAACCGTCAATTTCATCATTTGATATATTCTATTTTCTGGTTTCTGCACTTAGTTACACCATTCCATACATGGCGGTATTGGTTCGCTTAGTTATTTGCTTGCTCAATCCAAGATGTAAAAAATTGTCTTTTGAAACACACACACACGCATGTATATATATATATATATATATATATATATATATATATATATATATATATATATATATATATATATATATATATATATATATATATATATATATATATATATATATATATATATATATATATATATATATATATATATATATATATATATTATATATATATACATATATATATTTTTAAAAAACTGGTGCAAAAAAGTTGTACTAAAATTTATATGTTGTAAGCTACTGTTTAAAAACTTTTTTTAGATATCATATTGGTTCTAATTATAATTGGAGCTGCATTTGCTTTAATGGCCTTTGTGTGTGTGCTAACTATTTGTTGCTGCCGAAAAAATCCATCACGACGAAGAATTTGTAGTATAACGTTAATAATTCTAACATTTTTTACTGGTGAGTTAGAAAACATTTTGTAATGTATTATGTTTTCAAGTAAGTTAAGTATTATGTTTCTCTGTAAATTATATAACATTTTTGCTTTCTATTGAGAATTTGAATTAAATATTGCTTCAACTAAACCACTAAAGAAAACTCTACTAGATTTAAAAATCATTTTTTTCATTTTAAGTTTCAAGTTGACAATTATTAATGAAAATATGTTTCATCAATAAATATTGAAAATGAAAAATATAAAATGCACATATGTCAAATGGGTGAATTTTTTTCAACAGAAAGCATTTATTTTAAAATTTTTCAACATTTTTTGATTTTTACAAACATAATAACTAAGCTTAATAACATTCAGTGAAAAAAAAATGTTGATGGGTAATGGTGGTTAATATATTTTACTATTACACAATAAACTATTTTTTCTGTTAAATTAAAAAGTAAAACAATATATTTACGTATGTATATAAAACATTTTTTGTTTGAATTTTGAGTAAATATAACAAATAAAACCAAATTAATTGGGGTTATGCTTTTCAGTGGCTAAATAAATAAAGTTTAAATGTTTTATCAATTAAAGACCGGCAATTTCAATATTGTAAACATGTCGTTTTAAAGTTATAAAGAATTATACATTAAAAAAAAAAAGAAGATGAAACATTCAAGGTAATAAGAGGTAAAAGCTGTTTCATTTTATTATTTTCAATTTCTGCCATCACTCTGATGATTTTGGCCAGTAAAATTTAGTTCGCATTTTGTTAGATATACAAAATGTTGGTTTTTTTCCTTAGCAAATTGACACCACGCAAGATCTAACACAAAAAGATCAGTGCTTAGTTTATGTTCAAAATGTAAAGGAGAACCTTTATAAACTTGTCATAGATGTTTAAGTTGTGAACCATCTACAGTGAAAGAAATGTGTAATATAGTTATTACCTTTATTAAAAATAGAAAGTTAATATTAAAAATTGTATTTGTAACTTGACAGACGGAGCAACAGACATGCGTGACCAGTAAAGTAGTATTACCAGTTAGCTAAGTAAAGTATTGCGTTGGCTAGTTCACGTTTGATGTTAGGCCCACGAATTGAATTTGGTTTTTACAGAAGCTCGGGACACGGACGCACGGACGTTCGGACGCGAGGGGAAACACCAATGAAAAAAAAGTATTAGAGAATTAACGCTAAAGGTGAATCAAGATGGAGCAAAAAAGTCGCACTTAACAAACGTGTAGACATCAAAATAACAGACAAAGCACACTATATATTGATTTATTCATAACTTTAAATTATTTTGGAAGAGATTGTCCTACAAAGAAGATAATGTGTTTAAAAACTCATTTGACTAATAAAAAATAACGTTTAACGTAATTTTCGATACAATAATAAATTCTATAAATAAAGTGTTTTTAAAACCAATAGCAATACTAAACTCTAAAATTTTGCTGACAACAAATGTCTGCCGACAATAGATGTCTGCCGACAATAGATGTCTGCCGACAATAGATGTCTGCCGACAATAGATGTCTGCTGACAATAGATGTCTGGAAAACAAATTGAGGGAGCATACAACACAACGGCTCCAGCATTAAATTTAAAGGAAGAGAATGATTATATGATAAGATGGAACCGCCTAAAAATATATACGTGAGATATATTTAGCAGGGTGAAAGGCAAATCTATCTAAATCTGAAAACTAACTTTTGAGATAGATGGGACTTTGAAAAATTTTTGTAAACTTTTATTGATTTCAATTTATGATTTTTTGTTGTTGAAACCTCTTAGTTTTTTTATGAAAAAGTTTTGCTTCTATTATATACTACTATAATACAATATTATAGTAACTTTAGTATTTTTTTAAATAACTTTGCAAGTTATAAAAAAAATGCATAATTTTATGTAAATTCGTGTAAATTTAAAAATAAAAGACAAAAATATTGTTTTTTGTCCTTTATTTTTAAATTTACACGAATTAAGGGGGAAAACCTCTCAAAAAAAAATTTTTTTTTCAATTTTTTTTTTCTAGATATTTTAAAAGTAAATTTATTAAGAAATCAAATGGTAAAAACCTTATTCGAAAATCGCTATTTTTTATATCAATAAATGACACTTTTGTACAACCACCTGAGTTCAAAATTACCTAGCAACGCCCCTAGTTACAGAAAAACTGTGAATAAAACACATCTAGTATAGCTTTTTATCCGGTTTTTTTTTTGCAGTTTAGTTTGAAATGCTTCCCATTATCTCTAAAGCCATACTTTAAAACCACATATTTGACTGATAGTGCTAAAATTAGTCATCTTTTCAAGCTTCTACACAATCAACTCAAGCTTTCTATATAATTAAAAAAAAATGGACAAGTCTAAAACTGAATATAAAAGTGATAGAGTAAAATTTTCTACAAAACGTCTTCGAAAACGTAAATCTACCTTTTCTGGTTTAAGAAAGCAAGAAAAATGTGTAAATATTGGTGTAAATAATGTAAATAGTAATAATAAAAATATGGAAGACTCTGTAAATATTGAAAGTGAAAGTGTATTTAAAAGTGCATCAAAAAAAAAAGTAAAGCAACTAATGGTTCCAAGTGGAAACTCAAAATGTGTCAGTGGCTACAGGTTTATTGATTTAGAAATTCTTGCCTCCATTTTTGATAAACTTGGGTGTCCAGAATGTTTGCGACCATCACAGTTGTTGTTAAGTGAAAATAAAAAGTCTTGCAAAGGATATGCAACAAATTTATCATTAAATTGTGTTTGTGGTTTCAAGTTAGACTTTGACACATCAAAAAATGTAGCAGGGTTTGATATTAACAAAAGATTAGTGTATGCCATGAGAACACTTGGTCAAGGCCAAGCTGGTCTACATCGGTTTGCCACTCTTACGAATATCCCAAAAGGATTATGCAATAAAAGCTATAATGTTATTGTTCAAAAATTGGCAACTGCAGCACAAACTGTTGCTGTTGAAACTATGAATGAAGCTGTACAAGAACTCAGAGAAGGCAAATCTCTTAATGAGATCTTAGATATTGGAGTTTCTGTTGATGGAACATGGCAAAAAAGAGGATTTAATTCTCACAATGGGGTGACGGCAGCATTATCAATTAAAAATGGGAAGGTTTTAGATGTTGAAGCATTATCTAGAAAGTGTAAAATATATGACAAAAATCAAGATGTTGGTAATTTAAAGCAGAAGCTAACAGCAAAAAAATCACATATTTGCAATAAAAACTATGAAAGATCAGCCGGTGGAATGGAAACAGTTAGGGCAATAAAGATATTTAATCGCTCTTTGCAAAAATTTAATTTACGATACACAGAATACTTGGGTGATGGTGATAGTAAAAGCTACACTTCTGTCAAAAACACATACAAGGGTATTGAAGTAATTAAACTAGATTGTATTGGACATTTTCAAAAGCGCATTGGATCTCGTTGTAGACAATTAAAAAAGCAAGTCAAGGGTTTAAATGGTAAAGGCGGTTTAACAAACGCTACAATTGATCGGTTGCAAAATTATTTTGGTATTTGCATTAGGCAAAATTGTGGCAACCTTGAAGGTATGAGATCTTCAGCTTTGGCTAGCTTATTTCATATAGCATCTTCAAGCAAAAATAATTGGCATTACCCGCATTGTCCCACAGGAAAAGATAGTTGGTGTAAATACAATCGAGATAAAGCTAATGGAACCAAAGAGTATAAACCCGAACCAGGTCTTCCTATTGAAATAGTACACAAATTAAAGCCCATTTATGTAGAACTAACATCAGATGCTTATTTAAATCGTTTGCTTCATGGAAGAACACAGAATCAAAATGAAAGTTTTAATGCAATGATATGGTCTAGAATACCTAAGTCAAAGTATGTTTCGCTTACGCAATTGAAATTTGGACTTTATGATGCTATTGGTGCCTTAAATATAGGATTAAAGTCTAGTATACTTATATTTGAAAGACTTAATATGATACCAGGGCAACATACCATTTCTGGATGCAATTACCTGAACCAGAAAAGAGTTATGATGTCAGAGTATAAAAATCAAGACACCATCAAAAAAAAAAGGAAGATTTTAAGAAGCCGCAAGCTTAAAAAATTTGACTAAGTTGAACAGAAAGAAGGGAAATTGTATGGGGCTGGTATTCATGATTAAAAAATACAATCAGTATGCTCTTTTTATATTATATTTTTTGTATCTTTGTTATTATATAATATTTTTCATCACAATTTCAACTTATTTGGCATTTTTCTCAGAACGCGTGTTTTCAATCTCCCGGCAGAAGTATCTTGAGAACCGCTTGACCGATTTTAATGAAATTTTCAGGGAGTATTCCTCTCATAAAGATGTATGTAATGAGCAAACAACTTTTTAAAAATGTTTTTTAAACTAAAGAAATTAAAAAAAACATCTATCATTTTTGTGCTTAAAATTTTTGCCAAAATTAAACAGGCCTACTACCTGACAGAAAAGTTATTTTCAAAAACTGTCTGCTTATTGCATAGATCTATCTTTTAACTATAAGTTAGAAAAAAATCAGCTCAAAGTATCATTCTAATTGACTGCAATCTTTGCCAGGGTGAAGAGAGTAGTTTGACATTTTCCCTTAGTAACCGCGTTGCCATGGCAACAGAGTGCCATTTTTTATGATAGATCTTCTTAACATTTAGTATACTTTTATTTGGAACATGTAATAACTTTATTAATTCTTTACTTTAGAAAATAAGTTTTTGAGGGGTTTTCCCCCTTAAGACCTTACGATACACGAATTAAGACCATACGTTTTAATATAACGATAAGTCTACAACATTATTGCACTGCAAAAAAAAAGAATGATAAATGCGAAAACATAATAAATATGAAACATGGCAGCCTCGCACTTTACATTTCAAGGTAGTATGAAAAAAAAAAGAATGTTTTATTCAAGATTAATGGAGATATAGGTTGAATAGAAAACTCAATCTTTTGTCTCAATCTTGTTTTCATATCTAACTTTTAAAAAGTTGAGATTTTT